CCATTCTGAAGGCTGCCTTTTCACCTTGCTTACAGTTTCCAAAAACTTTTGTTTTCTTACTTGTATGTTTTCTGGCATTTCTCCTGAGATCTAGAAATTTAACATTTCTGATGTTTTTTGCACTGTTGGCCTGTTACATTATGGTAAAGTTATCTGCTTTTACAAACAGTATATTTAATATAAAAAAGTGATGAAGATAATAAATATAAATAATGGCTCTGGGTTTTAAGTTTTCCCTTCTTTTTTGTTTTATTCAGCCAATTTAACGTTTTAGCTCAGGATTAGCATTCTGAAACATTTTTGCTGAGTATCCCTTGGAGAGAATAGGCTTCTATTTGAAGCAGTGACCTTTAGCTCTTCTCCTACTCCAAAGCATGATGGAAAGTTGTCTTGTCTCCTCCACACTGTACAAAAGAATTCTTTGTCCTTTGAGGCTAACGAGTTAACAGCTTCAGTGACATGAAGCCAGTCTTTCAGGGGCATAGCTGAGTAATTCAACTCAAATGAGAAAATATAAGAAAAAGACTTCTTTAACTGGAATGGGTAAAAGAGATGGGAAGTTGAGAAATTACAGGAAATTTAAACACATATTAATGCCTTTTATATATGGCTGTAGAAAGGGCTCCTGGCTTAACTGACCTGATTATGTCTGTCTTTCTAATCAATACTGATCATTGTTATCCTGTTAATTTTATAAAAATAATTGTGTCCATTCTTATCAGTATATCACACATGGATACATGTGACACAACGTAATGTCTTTATTTTCAACTGATGGCTAAAAACCATTCAGTAAAACTTACTATATGGCCTTTTAATAATTCAGCTAAAAAGTTGGTTGGAGGTTTTGTTGGGTTATTAAGATATTTGTCCATTTTCATTTGTTTAAAAGAAACCTTGTTAACATGTTGAATTTCCTTTTACTGTGCTTCTTTTTTATCTGAGCCTGTTTCTGTGCACAGCTTTGAACTTCAAAGGGCAGTATGATGGAAGATGTACAAGCCCACAAATAAGGTTTAGACATTGCATTTTTGGTGTTTAAACTTCTCTTTCTCTGTGCCTTATGGTTTTTCACTGTTATATAATATGAAGTCCCTTAATGTGTCATAAGTAGTTCTTGATATTTGTGTTAAGTAAGAAGGACTACTCTAAGACTTGAAGAGTTTTTCTGATTCACCATCAGGGCTTGAAAAAGAATTTGTATTAAGTGTTAAGAGAAACACATACATATTCCCCTGTAATTTATATTTTAACCAAAGTTTTCTCTAAGCCTTTATCTTGCTCATTGACATGTAATAATCAAGGTCATTGTAGAGCACTGAAGTTACTTGAGTTGCTGGAGCTTGTTATGTATATTTGAGATGTATTATGTAATAGAAACTCAAGGCATGCTGAAAAAGTTTTATGATCCTTCAGTTTTATTTTGTGTTTATTATTGACCATGTAAACGGTAGTTCTGTTGAAAAAGGGTTTATAATGTAGTAGTAGGTAGTTTACAAAAGCCTTTTAGGAGTGTGCTTTTACTCCTTCTAATACAAGGCAGTGTGATAACTGGAAGGAGTTAGAGCTGTGTTTTGTAGAATACTTTCTGTACATTGTTAATAGATAATACACAGGATAAAAAGGGTTCTTTAGTTAATTAAGTTTGGAAAACACAGGATTGAGCAGTGGTAATTAGATTTGTTTCCTGAACGGCTTCTAAGAATTTTTCTTCTGGTGATGTGTTTTATGAATTCCTGAGGAGGGATGAGTCTACCAGAGTTTGAAAAGTTTGGAAACATAGGATGAACTTTACAATAAATACACTATTGTTCCTGTGTTTACAGGCTTTTGGGGCATTTTATATCCTCTTTATTATGCTTTTTTCTGATTAATGTTTGGATCCATTGCTGTAATTCTAAAGATACTTCCTCTGAAGTGTATCCAGAGTTTGAAGAAAAATACTTGAGCATATGTTTTAAAAATGTAACTAGCATACTGTTTAAAATTAAGTTCATCCTGTATTTCTCTCTTGTATGGACTAGTGTATATTATAAAGGGCCTCTCAAATATTTTAATTATGGAGGCTTTTTTAACATAGATCATTTGCAGGGACTAGTGTTCCTTGGAACATACTTCAAGAAACAGGTCTGCCCTTAAAATAATTCCCAATTTGATTATTTCCTGAGATGTTTTGTTTTTATAATGTAGAAAAGATATTTCTGATATTAGCTATATCATATTCACTGTTGGATTTTGATTTGCTATTATTATCCCAATTTTATAAATTACTAGTTTTGTGATTGAGCTTTAGTTTTTGCATCTAGAGTGGAGATGATAATAAAAGTTACTTTTTAGGGTTATTGTGAATATTAAGGCAAATCTTCCATGTAACACATTTATCATAGTTGCCTGGTGTAGAATAGATAAAGGTTGTTATTATGGGGAGTTACATGTGCACATGTTTCTCTAACATTTAGAGATGGATGATTGGTTTATCTATGGCCTTGTCTTTAAATTTGTCTTAGAATGAGTCACATGGCTAGATGCTATATTTGAAACTTGAATAGGAAAGCCTCTTGGTTTTATAGTTTTTTCTAATAAACAGAAAACAAATTCTCTAGCTATCTGTGGCAATTAATATAACAGGGTGCATTTTGGGCTCTTTGTATTCTGTAGCAAAAATATGTAGTCCTCTCTGAGAGCTAAAGCGTCTGTGGTTAGGCCATTGATGCTTTCATGTTTCTTGAGGGAAGAGTTCAGCCAGGTTCTGAAGTGTACATGTAAACATACATGCCTTGAAAATTAAGTGCTCTTGAGAATTGTGTATGACATTCGTAAGGAGGAGGTGTCTCGAGGCTTTCCTACTTTTCTTGTATGTTTGTTGGAATGTGTCCAACAGTCCATGTCATGTGTTGCTCATCTGTTCTGTAGGGGAGTCAGCACGTAATCACTGCAGGCAGAATAATGAGAGCCTAGTTAAATGAGGTCAGAGTGGTTGAAAGAAATTGCTTATAAAAAAAAGAAAATTGCTTGTAACTGTTCAAAATAAAACCATCAGTCAGACCTATATCCTCTAAGAGTGGATACAAATACATATGTGTGGTTGAGTCCCTATACTGTTACCTGTAACTGTCACAGCATTGTTTGTTAATGAACTAAACCCCAATACAAAATAAAATTTAAAAAAAAAAGTATATCCTTTAGCATTTCTTGTAGTGCAGGACTGTTGGCAATAAATTCTTTTAGCTTTCCTGTATCTGAAAATAGCCATAAGAAAAAAAATGAATATACAGGGCTCTTTTCAAGAACAGTGATAAGAATGATGGTGTTTGCAGGAACAAATATCAATATATACTAGACAGACAACAAAGTTAATTAATTTTTATAAAGAAAATGTTAGAGTTATAGCTTTTTCTTTTCTAATTGGTATGTGTATTATTAATAATAAAGAGAATTAGTATTTAATATTTTAACTGAAGAAAAGAAGCACAAATTGGAGAGCAAATAAAACAGACTTACGAAAATTTACATAAGTGATATTTATATATATGGTGTTTAACTGCTTTGAAACCTTGGACTCAAGTTCTCAGAAATAGTTGGGCTCACATGACAATGGTTTAAATGTTTTATATTTTTTATATTCTTTTTACGATTCTTAATTATTTAGATTCTCTAAAACTATAAATAATGAAGTATTTCTTTTAATTTCTTGTTACTTAAAATAGCATTAATGCCAGTTTCAGAGGGAGACTTATTTTATTCTTGCATATTTTCTTTCACAGTTGTCTGCGTAGTGAACGTACATGTTTATTGAACTTTGTTAAAGTTATATCATAAACAGTTTTTTAAATGTGATCACATAACTGTCATAATTTTAGTTTTTAATGACTATGTCATATTTTGCATGTATCTCCTCCTCTGTTAAACAGTTAATTTATTTAAAAAAATCTGTTATAGACAATACTGTGGTTAATATATTAGTGAAAATAGGATATAATTTCTTTTTGTCTCATAGATAAATTCCCAGGATTTATGTTTATTATATTTAAATGTGTGGTATTTTACTTTGCATATCATTGTATTTTACAGATACTTATATAATGCTAGTTCTGTGTGCCAGGATGGTTAAGTAACTTGCTCAAAGTCACACAGCTAGTAAGTGGCTGAGCAGTCTGGCTCCAGTCTGTGCTCTTTATAACTTTGCTATGATACCTCTTTTGACACATTTTGCCAATTAGCTCTCTCATAAAAGAGTTAAACTTACTTTTAGTCATTTTAACCACAACTTAGCAGGATGATCATTTTTAAAACAGGTAACCAATTCAGCAGGTATAAAATAATATACTTTCATTCAGTAAAACACTTGACAAAGATTAAGTTTAAAAAATGTAAAGCTGTAAGTTAAGTTTTTGTTCATAAAAAAGGCTTTCTATTTGATTGCTTTCTACCACTAGAAATTTAAAAGAAGGGGAAAATTGATCCTGTCTTTTTTGACTGATCACATTGTTTATTAACTTTGTTTAGCAAGTATTTTGTAGTATAGATAATAAATTGTGCATAAAAAGTCACAATTTGAAAAGAATTTTACTTGTCAGTGATAGTTTTATTTAAGGTAAGTATTTTAAATTCTAAGGGCATGACTTGTTCATAGTTGAAAATTAAAAACCATGCAGCATGATGTAAATTAAATGTCTTCTAGTCTCAATCCACTGGACAAGTAAAACCATCCACTATCACATCTGCCATTCTTTTTAAAGTTAGTTTTAATTGAAGGATAATCACAATATTGTGTTGGTTTCTGCTGTACATCTAATTACAATGTTGTGCTGATTTCTGCTATACATCAACATGGATTAGCCGTAGGTATACACATGTCCCCTCCCTTTTGAGCATCTGCTATTCTTATTTTCCAGTCATAAGTACTATTAACTATTGGTAAGAATTTTTTTTAATGTGAAAATCTCTCTTCCCCTCCCCTCCCCTCCTTCCCCTACCTTCCTTTCTTTTTGCTCGTGGAGCCGTGACTTCTTTGGAATTGTAAATATTCTTTTGAAATATGGAGCTCAGCTAAATGAACTTCATTTGGCATACTGCCTGAAGTATGAGAGGTTTTCAGTATTTCGCTACTTTTTGAAGAAATGTTGCCCATCAACACCATGGGACCACTTACCTGAATTTATAAATCACGCAGTTAAAGCACAGACAAAATATAAAGAATGGTTGCCATCTCTGCTGCTTGCTGGATTTGACCCACTGAATCTACTGTGCAGTTCCTGGTAAGAAATCCTACCATTGTGGACCTTACTCTTTTCATTTCCCCCAATTTCTTGAAATCCCTGTGTTGGGAGGAGGTTGTTATTGTGTATGTTTTGATTGTGATGGCTGTGTTGGGATGAAGGAATTGGGGACCTGCTAATAGTGAGATTGAATGTATGAATGTAAGGATAGTTGTTGTTTATTGCTAATTTGTGTCTGACTCTTTTGTGACCCCATGGACTGTAGCCCACCAAGACCCCCTGTCCTTGGGAGTTTTCAGGCAAGAATAATGGAATGGGTTGCTGTTTCCTTCACCAGGGGATCTTCCCAGCTCAGGGATCAAACCTGCGTCTCCGCTTGGCAGGCAGATTCTTTACCACTGAGCCACTGGGAAGCCCTGAATGTAAGGATAGAATCCTAGAAAAAGGTTGGAGGCGGCTAGAAGGGAACAGAAAGGAATGGGTGCCAGTGAATCCTCTCGGGAGGGCTATTTCTTCTACTAGGGCCATCCCTCATGCTGCTTTTAAAATACCTGCCACAGAATGGTTGTAGTAGCTTTGGCCATTTTTAGCATCCCTTAGACAACTAGATTGAATACTCCTATCCTGTAGTGTCTTGTCTATTTGAACTTAGTCTCTCTCAATTAATACTGATCTCTGAAGCAGCTGAGGATACAACTGTTTACCTCAAGTGGTTTCTCAGAGGGGCAGTGCCTATGAGTGATTATATGAAAGTTGAGTCAGAATTTTTCTAGGGCAAAAGGATAAAAACTTTTTTTTTTAAATATTTTTTTTCCATTTATTTTTATTAGTTGGAGGCTAATTACTTTACAGTATTGTAGTGGTTTTTGCCATACATTGACATGAATCAGCCATGGATGTACATGTATTCCCCATCCTGATCCCCCCCGCCCCCCGCCCTCCCAACCCCATCCCTCTGGGTCTTCCCAGTTCACCAACCCCGAGCACTTGTCTCATGCATCCAACCTGGGCTGCTGATCTGTTTCACCCTTGATAATATACATGTTTTGATGCTGTTCTCTCAAGACATCCCACCCTTGCCTTCTCCCACAGAGTCCAAAAGTCTGTTCTATACATCTGTGTATACACAAGCCTCTGCAGAAGTTACGTGTCTAGATGGACTGAGAAATTATTGATAATTGTAGCAGTGAGAGAACTCTTCTGGTCTGATAATTTAAGTCAAGTGAGAAAATAGAATAAAAGTCTCTAGGAATATAGAGAACATGTGTGTTTTATAAAATATCAATGAAATATTTGGAAGATTTCATTTTTGTGCTTCAGAACTACCATTTGCTAAAATAATGTTTAGGCAAGTACTGAAATTTTGGATTTCAGCAGGAATACTTTGATATCTTGTTATTTAAATTTTGCTTTTCAAAGAGGTCCTCTCTGGGATTCATGCAGGCAACACTGGTGCTTCCTACTTGTAAATTTAATTTGCATTTCTGTGACTCCATCTTCCACGTGGTGGTCTCTCCATCTATGTTGTAAACAAAAGATCTTTATTTGGCAGATCTTTATTTATCTCACCTTTTTATTATCTACCATAATATAGAATTCAACAATTTTCTCTAAGCAGAGACTTAAAATTTTAGTTTTAGGACTATCATGTCTTTCTGATACAGAATGTTTCATTTTGGTGGCTTGTGAGGAAAAACTGCTATCTGATAGGTGGTTTGAGAAATATAGAAGTAAAGCAAAATTTAGATACATGCTCTAATCTCAACTTTACTTTTTGTTTATAATTTACAGTGGTTTGAGTCCCTGATTGTATTTACTTCTTTCTCCAGCAGTTGATTGATTAATACATAGTTATCTGTCAAGTACTCATTGTTGTAATTCTCTGTATACCATTTCAATAAATTTTCACAAAAATTCATAGTATTTTTTGATAACTGAGATATAAAATTATTGACAATTAATTGAGAAATCTAATTTTTAAAAGTTATTTGTATATGTTTACGTGTCCTAACAAACCCCCTTTACATGAGCACATGTGCATGCACACATACATTCACTGCTGAGATATAAATACTACTGAATGCTATATCTAGCTATTAACAGAGCTATTTAAGTACCTTTAACTTTTCTCTTAGTGGATTTTATTGTTGTGTCTGGGCTTCTGATAGCTAGTAGCAGTTGCCCCTCACCATTCCTTCCCCAAAATGCTACTGTAAATCCAGCTCATAGATAACTGTGGGCAGTCCTGGCAGTGTATTCCCTTTCCTCTGTCACTCCATTTTGTTCTCACTCCCAAGGCACCCACATTTTTCTCAACCATGCTCCTTGTGTTTTACTACTGAAGCTACTTACTTGGCTCTATCTTACTTCCTATTACTTTCAGCCTTCATGCTCCATTCTGGTTTTTAGTTTGTTTATTTCTTTAACCAACACTTAAAATATTGCCCGATATACAGTAGCTACTATGATTGATTCTTTACTATTAACTCATTTAATATATAGTAGATACTATTATCCTTAATTTATGGAGAAAGGGTTTGAGGCACAGAGTGTTCGACATACTTGCCACAGTTCACACAGCTATTTAGTGCTAGAGTTTAAGATTTGGACCCAGGCTGTCCAGTAGTATGGCTCAAGTCTGTCTTTGTAGCCCCTATGCTATTATTCTGCCTTAGTCCTGTATATCCCCAGGGTTGTGGTAATTTTGTCACTTAATTTCAGGTACCTTGTTAGTTGCTCAGTTGTGTCTGACTGTTTGCAACCCCATGGACTGTAGCTCACCAGGCTCCTCTGTCCATGAAATTCTCCAGGCAAGAATACTGGAGTGGGTATCTATTCCCTTCTCCAGGGGATCTTCCCAATCCAGGTATCGCTCCCGGGTCGCTTGCATTGCAGGCAGAGTCTTCACCACCTGAGTGACAAGGGTACTTTAATCCATTGCCTAAACTGGAGGAATATGGGCCAACTTTTCTATTTCCTATTCCTAAATTAGGATTAACCTCTATAAGGAAAAAATTAAATGTATCCTCTTTTCTTTTCCTCCTCAGACAACTACATAGACCGTTGGAAGACAAGGGAATTATTTAGCTTTATCCTACTAAAAGGCTCCTAAAATAGTCTTCTATCCCTAGTTCTTCTATGGGGTTCCCTGCCCCTCATGTGAAAACTTGCCCATTTGAGAATTTTTTGTGGTAATAAGCCACTGGGTTTGTGTTTTGTTTATTGGATGTGTTTGGATAGAAAAAAGTTAATAAACAGTAAACTACATATTATTTTTAGTATATTGTAAAACTTTCAGCTATTGAATTGAGAACAAAAATTGCATGTATTTTACTCTGAAGGAATAACTTTAGTTACTTTATTAGAAAAAACACGATGGAAAATTTCACTTTAGCAGTAAAAATGCATAACATGGTCAAATTTTTGTTTGCTAATCTTTTATTGAATGGATAAAGCCAGTGTTTATGCTGAATGTGATGAATGTTTTGCTTTCTTTGATCAGTTTACATTCAAAGAACTGTTATAAAAAATTATCCCATAAAAATTCCAATATGCTGTTAAAGTGGATTTTGATTGTATTTTATTTATATTACATGTAAGTCTCTTGCTTAATCTTTATCATGTGAATTATAAATGTCTTTCCTAGATATTGCTTGTCTCAAATAGTCTTTAAAAATGTATCTGACTAAATAATTGCCTGTCACAATATGAGCTACAGAGTTGAAATATTTTAATGCAACACTAGGTATCCCTCACACCCTCAATGCAGTAGACAAATAATAGAAAGTGAATGTCATCTGTGCATTTAGTTGATTAACTGTCAATCGTTTATGATTGTACAACTGCTTTGTACAGTGTAATGATCAATGTAGTACAGTAACCATACATTTTTAGTGGCACTGTCAGCATTGGTAAAATGCTCAACATTATATTAACTAAAGCTGTGTAAACAGATTTATTGTGTGTGTGTTTAGATAACTGCATAAAAATGACTTTGTGTTTGATCACAGTGAGACTTAAAGCACATTAAGATAGAAAAATGAAACCATTAAAAAAGAAATAAGGAACCAGAACTGAGAAACCTTTGGTGTGGGTTTCTAGAAAGTGGAGGAGATTGTTTGCCTTTGAATATATTTTATCATTTCATTTATTCTCAGTGTTTTCTGATAAATTGTGACTTCACTGAGAATTTCTTTAGAAGTAAAATGTTTCCCAGAGTGTTTGTGCTATAGTTTGTTTTTCCTTATATGAGTTTGCATGTTAGAGAATTAAAAATTTGGGAAATAATTTTCATACTCTAACCAGTCATTTCAAGGATACTTTGGACCCTGAATTGCATGAAATAAGTTGTCTTTGAGATGACAAGTTTAGAGTATTACTCAGTTTCTTTCTTTTTCTTTTATTTTTCCCTTTCTTTTGTCCTTGCTCAGTAATGTCTCCAAAAAAGCGACCTTGAAAAGAATTTCTGGTTTTGAAGTAGTCACCAGAGACCCTAATGATTTTATTTTTCTTTGAACAATGTGATGGTAGGGGAGTATCTAATTGAGTACAAGATGAGTAATCTTGTTAGAGTTTAGAGTTGTCTTTATGCTTTGACTAAATTTCATGTGTACAATGTTATAAGGCCCACTGAGAATATAGTACTGAAAATTCCAAGCCGGTTCTAGTAATATCAAATATTTATATAGTATTTTATAGTTTTAAAAATCTGTTCACTATATTGCCTCAGCTACTTTTATGAACAGTCTCCCGAAATACACAGGGTAAGTGTTATTCTCATTTTGGAGACCAGGATCTAGGGCTTAAAGAATTTAGGCAACATGTTTGTAAGGAGTAGAATTGTTAGAAATCAGAACTTTTCCTAGGTCATTGCTCTTTCCATTAGGATTCAAGTACTTTAAAAATTTGGGAAGTCTCTTTTGGGTGGGTTGGTAGGAAATCTGACATTATTTTGAAAAAAGAGAGGTAGAACTGTTTGTCTTCAACCACTTCTTTCAGTCCTTAAAGACAAAACTTATTCTGGTACATCCTCTAGAGTCATATCTGTAATGGGGAAGGTTCTTGATGAGAACCGTTGTAGTAAATCTCTGAGGGTTGGTCAGAAATAAGCCATCTCTCCCATACACCAGTTTAGGGACAACTTTGGCTTCCTTGATAGCTCAGTTGGTAAAGAATCTGTCTGCAGTGCAGGAGACCTTGGTTCAGTTCCTGGGCCAGGAAGATCTGCTGGAGAAAGAATACATTACTCACTGCAGTATTCTTGGGCTTTCCTTGTGGCTCAGCTGGCAAAGAATCCGCCTGCAATGTAGGAGACCTGGGTTTGATCCCTGGGTTGGGAAGATCCCCTCGAGAAGGGAAGGGCTACCCACTCCAGTATTCTGTCCTGGAGAATTCCAAGGACTATATAGTCCATGGGGTCACAACAAGTCGGACATGACTGAGTCACTTTCACTTTTGGGTGTTTAGACTTTATCCTTTCACTGTTAAATTAAGTGTCTCTGAGGATGACCAATCTAGATTTAGCAAGATGGTCCAGTTGGGAGGAAATAATGGCATATCCACTAATGACAGTGACACTGAGTCTGTCTTTTCTCACCACTGCTGCTGGGGAATGATAAGGCATTCTACTTTTGCTAGAGTAGAAACTCCTCTTGTCATCTATTGGACAACAACATGCACAATCATTTGAGTTTCGTGTAGGAACCTGATTTGATGATTTTTCATATCCGCTGAACTTGCCTTTTGTTTCATGAATATTTTCTTTGCTGTAGTTGTCTGTCTGCCTCCGCATCAGGATGTTGTAAGAATTGGTATATGGTATTAGTTTTCACAGTGAATCCTTTGTGAATTTTGTGTCTAAATGTATATTAATATCTTGCCAATGTAGGATTGACTCAGTCAGTGATGACATTCTTATCTTCACTTTGGAGTTTACTAATTGGAGGAGACTTCCTCCAGCTGTTGAAAAGATGCTGTCTGCTCGTGCCTCAAACTCCTCTTGGGCTCTCCAGCAACATATTGGTAAGAAAGTACAATTTTAAAATACATGTCACTACTTTTTTTTCCTCTGCCTTCTCTAGCTGTGTTGTAATTTTAAATGATAAGAGTCACTGGAGAACATAATTAAATTGGGCATCATTTGCGTTTTCTTTATGTGGGGAGAGGATGGAACTGTGAGGGAGATCATAGTAATTTCCTTCAACATAAATCATATCTGATTTTATAGGTTTAGCCTAAGGAGCATGTAAAGGATAACAGGTATTTAGTGATATTTTAATGACACCCTTTTGTTTTTAGTAAGGGTTATGCAAGCAAAAGTGAATCCTAAAAATTTTGTTGGTCAATATTTAGTTTGTGGTCAGAAAAATGCTAAATGTAATTTTCCTCTTGGAGTGTGTGTTGATGTCTGTGCTCTCTTTAATACTTTATTGTCTCTAAAAGGAAGTATCACCATTCTTTACTGTTAACTTACTGAATGTATGCCAGTGTTTTGGTAAATTGATTGATATTTTAAATGACTATTTTAAAACAAATTATCAACTTACTCTCACTTTAAAAAAAAAGCTTTTAAGCTAGTTAAAAAAGAAATAAAGAGGATGCAATAGAAGATTATACACAAGGAAACCAAATTAAACTAAATATAACATAGGCAAAGTATTTCTGTTTACTTACGTAGATTTATTTTTATCTATTTTGTTCACCAGATTATGTCTTAAGTTAGGAAAATTATTTCTTCATTACTATTTTTGCATGAAATGTCACCCTTCATAAAACATGTTGAGTAGGTTTTTAACAAGTGAACTTAGCATATGTAGAAATATCGTCTATTTTCTTGGAAAATTACATTTAAGTAAATTTTCTCAGTCAAAAACAGACATTTAGGAAAATATATTCTTGAACTGAGATATATTCAAACTCTTAGTGAGGTTTCTTGTTGAAGAAAAAATGTAATCTGTTTGGAGTCTCTAAACCTTCCAGTACAGAATTTCTTTAATGACAATGTTAAAAAGCTCAAATGCATGTGAGAATTGTATCTGCTCTTGCTAATTATGTATGCAGTGGTAGAGGGAAAATATCTGTTTGGGAACAAAAAGGCAAAAAGAAGGAGCATATGCCAAGTGGGAAAATTACTGCAGCCTATCAATTAGTAAAGATATGTGAGAGTTTACTCTGAAGACTTTAACATATGGCAGGTTTGTCCAGATGAAGGTAAGAATTGTACATGAATGCATTATTCTGTGGTAGACTAAATACATCAAGGGCTTCTTATTTAATTAGGCACTAGGTAAAGCTTGCTAGGGTAATAATCATCATTTCTTAAGAGGATTTTATTTTGGCTGAAGATTTACAAAAGCCTTTCTTAGAGGTATTAATGTAGCTAATGCTTTTCTAGTCTATTTCTCTTGCCATGACCGCTTTTCTTGGTTCCAGTCCCATACGTCCAACTGACTCTTGGACATCTCCACTTGGTATCCCACATTTTGACATATTCAGAATTTGAAGTTGTCATTTTTCCTACAAATCCTGATGTTCCTTCTGTCTGTTTCCTCGTTCAGAAGGTGAGGTGATTTAGGAGTGCTGCTTACCAAGAGAGTGAGTTATTCCTGGCAGCTGTTTGTTACTTGTTTCATCCATCGCAGAGGTATTCAACAGGGGTGATTTTTGCTCCCACAAGGGATAGTTTGATTGCCACAATTGGTAGGGGTGCTGTTGCCATCTAGGGGATAGAGGCCAGGGAGATGCTGCTAAATATCCTACAGTGCACAGGACAGCCCCCCACAACAAAGAATTGCCTGACCCGAATTTCACTAGTGACCAGGTTTAGAAACCCTGATCCACCTTGACTCTTGTGTTGCCCAGTGTTATAAAGGTCTTTTACTCCTATACTAGGAAGACTTTTTAAACCCTGTTCTTACTGCAAACTACTCAAGAAATGCTTGTGTTCTTGGTTTCACAAGATACTCTCAGTTATTCCAGATATTCCATTGAGAATATCTTCTGCAGGTAACGGGAGCTGTTATGGTGATAGATTTTAAGTAAGGCTGGAAGGAAGAGATATGCCTGTCTACTCACTTGTCTGAGTTTCAAATGGGATTGTGATTCTCTTCCTTTCTGTGGTTCAAGACTGTCTTCATGTACCCCACTCTTCTTTTTTCTTCAGTTTTCAGGACATTCAGTTTCTGTATGTTGGTCATCTGTACTCTGCCCTCCTTTATTTGGATTTTGAGATTACAGGATTTCTAAGCAAAAGCATGGCCAGAGTTTTAACACTGAAGGTGGTGGGCTCAGAAACACAATTCTTTGATTACCTTTCTAAGTATAGGACAGTCTTGCTTTCACCCCAGTTTCTCCAGTAACTTATCATGGTAATGAAAGCTACCTCGTCAAAATATTTCTTTAATTTTTTTGGAAAGGATGCTTCTTGTGGCTCTGCTACTATTGGTAAGCCCCTAGAATAATTTCAGTTCTCTAGCTCCTTTAGGTATACCAGTATCTGTCCCAAGGAAAAGATTTTCTGTATTCTTTTCCTAAGCTCTTTTCGAGTCTTGGAGATGCCTTATACTTGCTCAAAATTCTCTTTTCCTCATCCTTTTCCTCCTTAAAAACATAGCACCTTGCCCTGGTAGTTTAAAAATAAAAGAGATAGTCAGTTCCTTGCTGCTCATCTTTTAATCATTTAGTCAGATTTGTTTTCAGAAGTTCTTTTGCATTAGAAAGGAAAAGTATACCAGCTAAAATTTGTTGACTGGTTATAGTTTTAATAGCAATTTTTTTGATCATGTGCCTGTTTATACCTCTTAGAAACATCATTTTAAATGTATATAGCAATAGACTTCTTAATAAAAAAATTGCAAACCCCTAGCCAACTGACCAAGATCAAGTCTAGGTAATTATGTGCTTATGGTAAAAGCACTTGGCTTTAGTTCATCCTGAACCTTTAATTATCAAATATGAACAATTCTATTCTATCCATGGATCTGGATTCTACAAGGGATCTTGTAAGGGCCCCTTGAAACTCTCCACTTATTCTTTTCAGTGTTCCTCTGTTTTGTTCTAAACAGGATTTAAGACAGTTTATACATATAGATTTATCACACAAACAACAGTAAAACAAGTTCAAAGTGGAAGCAAAAGAAAAGCATGGAGTCAGGAAATGTTTATCAGTGTAATCTGAAACTTGTCTGTGGATACACTGTAAATTTGGCTGTGACTGAGCTCTACAGTTCTTGATCTAGGTTACAGAATTCATAACATAAAACAAACTCATTGCTCAGAAGTACAGATATTCTTGGATGTTGTGCTAGACAGTTTCCTAGAAAACATCTTGGTAGCCGTGGTTTCTTGGGACTTTATGTTACCAGTTTCCAATGTGGCCTGTTGCTGTCATAGCAAGGTGTTGAATTACTATGGTAATTCAATAAAAACACGTCTTTTTGTTTTTTCTCTCTCTGATTTTTATTTTTATTTTTTTTCCTCTAGTTTTATTTATTTATTTATTTATTTTTTCATTTATTTTTATTAGTTGGAGGCTAATCCATGGCTGATTCATGTCAATGTATGACAAAAACACTTTTTAAGTGGGCCTTGGTACTCAGGTCTCTGTTGCTCTGACTTGACCAGGGCTAGATTTATAGTATCCGGAGGGTACCTGTGTGCACTTTGAGCAGTTGTCTCTAAATACTGTAACTACACTCAGTTTAAAATAAGTGATAGTTAGCAATGCATTCAAAATTAGACGACCTAAGAAGTATTAGAGTGCAGCTGCTTTGTGTTGCAGACTGAGAATATATTTCTAAGAAACAGTTGATCTTAAAAGTAGAGGTAAAAGAGAAATGAAAAAAATAAAGGTTGATAGGCTAAGTATTCTATTGTGAAACCCAGCAAACACATAAGAACTCCTGCCTAAATATGGTAGACTGAGTGAGTATTCAGTTTAAACCAAGTTTCTATGAAACTTTAAGCAGCACTGCTAGTTTTGAGCAATGCTCCTTGTTCATATACTCTTTCAGAAAAACCATATGTGGTCAGTACATCAAGCTAACTATTTGTGGTAACTTATCTTGTGAGATTGTTATATTTACAGTTAAAAACTAGGGAATAAAAACCAGAAACAAAATACAGGTTTAGGAATCAGTCAGTCAGTTCTGTCCCTCAGTCATGCCGACTCTTTGCGACCCCATGGACTGCAGCACACTGGGCTTCCCTGTCCCATCACCAACTCCCGGAGCTTGCTCAAACTCATGTCCATCGAGTTGGTGATGCCATCTGACCGTCTCATCCTCTGTCGTCCCCTTCTTCTCCTGCCTTCAGTCTTTCCCACCATCAGGGTCTTTTCCAGTGAGTCATTTCTTCACATCAGGTGGCCAAAGTATTGGAGTTTCAGCTTCAGCATCAGTCCTTCCAATGAATATTTAGGACTGATTTCCTTTAGGATTGATTGATTGATCTTGCAGCCAGAGGGACTCTCAAGAATCTTCTCCAACACCACAGTTCAAAAGCATCAGTTCCTTGGCACTCAGCTTTCTTTATGGTCCAACTCTCACATCCATACATGACTATTGAAAAGCCCCTAGCTTTGACTAGGTGGACCTTTGTTGGCAAAGTAATGTCTCTGCTTTTTAATATGCTGCCTAGGTTGGTCATAGCTTTTCTTCCAAGGAGCAAGTGTCTTTTAATTTCATGGCTGCAGTCAACAGCTGCAGTGATTCTGGAGCCCAAGAAAATGAAGTCTGTCACTGTTTCCATTGTTTCCCATCTATTTGCCATGAAGTGGTGGGACCAGATGCCATGATCTTAGTTTTCTGAATGTTGAATATTAAGCCATATGTTTCACTCTCCTCTTTCACTTTCATCAAGAGGCTCTTCAGTTCTTTTGTGCTTTCTGCCATAGGGCAGTGTCATCTGCATATCTGAGGTTATTGGTATTTCTCCCAGAATTCTTGATTCTAGTTTGTGATTCATCAAGCCTGGAATTTCTCATGATGTACTCTGCATATAAGTTAAATAAGCAGGGTGACAAT